ACTCTGCTAACAGTACCACTAACAGTACCATGCTGCTAACAGTACCATGCTGCTAACAGTACCATGTTGCTAACAGTACCACTAACAGTACCACTCTGCTAACAGTACCACTCTGCTAACAGTACTGCTAACAGAACCACTCTACTAACAGGACCATGCTGCTATAGATGTATTTCTTTTTAACTTTTGCTGCATGCTTTTTTTTTTTTTTTTTTTGGTGGTGAGTTGAGACGGTTCTTCTCATCCTGAGCATTTCATTGCATTGTTGACCTTGTGTTAACCTGCATATGACAAATAAACAAACTAAACTAAACTACATGCTATGCCCACTTCTGTCTCATTTATAAGCTACTTCGTCTAAACAGTGTTCATTTGTAAGTCTGTTTCAGCTGCTCTGCAGTCATGGAGACACCCGGCAGCATTACACATCACACAATGTCAAATACCAATAAAACTCATTTACAAATATGGTTATAATATAACAGTCAATAAAAAGCAGGTGCAAAAGGCCAGAACAATAGAGATTAACACCATCTGTAAATAGCTAAGAAAGTATTTGAGGGGCCTGGTGCCTGGTTTTACACATGTGCATTAGTAGCTGATGCTCTTCCTCTCAGCACGGAGCTACAGAGGCTCAGGCTCACGTGACCGACATGTTTAAACTGCTGCCGCACAAACAGTTTCAGGTGGTGGAGACATTTAGTGACAACTTCAGACAAAGGCACAAGACAGCTTTCAAATCTTGTGATAGCTTAATTTGGTGACAACATTACACAATCTGAAATATGAAAAAATAAACAATAAATTATTCAAAATGAGTTTTTTCTTTAACATTTTTTTAGCAAACTGCACAGAAACTTGAAAACAGTTTAAATCTCATCCTCACTAAAGATACAAATCAACAGATTGCAGCTGCAGGCTAAAACAGGGTTCCCAGCATTTAATGAAATTGTGTTTTCCTGAGTTTTCCCTAATAAATCCTGAAATTCCAAGAGATATTTCACAAAATGGACAGAAGTAGAGAAGTTATTATGGCATGTCAACCATTCCTAATAATTCATTATATTACCCTGATTCATGCTCAATAATCCAGGTAGGAAAATCTAAAAAAGTTAAATCTGGTCCTCTGGACATTCAAAAAACAAAACAAAGCAAAACAACAACAAAAATGTAGAAACGTTTCGTCTTTCATCCGAGAGACTTCTTCAGTACATTTTTGTCATTTTTGCTGTGTTTTGTTTTTTGAATGTCCAGAGGACCAGATTTAACTTTTTTAGATTAAACTCATTATATTGTTTAACAACAGATGGTACAAAGCCACCACAGCCAGTCAGTAATGGTCATGCACTGTGTACACTGTAGAAGCAGAACACTGATTCAGTGATACCAGAATACTAGTATTAATACATGTACACAGCCAAATCTCAGAAAGATCATCTTTTAATCAGCAGATCAGTGTTCAAATTCCAGTTTTCTCTAATGTTTTTAATGTTTTTCTCAAATTCCCAGATTTTCCTTGTTTGGAAAATGTTTAAATCATTTTCCAGCTTTCCCCTGATAACGCAGAGACACTGGGAACCCTGTAAAATTACAACTAATTAACATAAAGCAATCTATACTCTGTTCAAGCAACACAAACAGCCCCCCGACTGCGACTCCAGCTTGCAGTACCGAACTAACACTCGACAGAAGTCAGGCCACACTTTGGGGACACGTTTGTGTCATTTTCAGTCCAAATGTCAACTAGAAAATATTTGAATGAAGTCAAAGAACAGCAACTAGAAAAGTTAATGTGCACATCCAGCAACTTACTGTGTTGCTTTCACAATGTCCAAGCTGCTGCTGTCGTCCATGTGGGACCGTTTCTTTGGCTGCTGACTGATGTCCATCGTCTGGTCTGTGTTTTTACCCAGCTGTCCGTAAGCGGGCATGTACAGGTTTGTCATCCCACCAAAGGCTGCCACTCTTGGCCCGTGACCGTGAGAGTGGCCCGTGTGTCCGTGGTGACAGTTGTCATGCATGTGGCCGTGGCCCTGCACCACAAACATTAAAAGACCAATTCAATCCAAGATGCGCAACATAATAATGACACAGATTGAAAAATCACAAGCTTGTCAATCATCCATGGACCCTTTAAAAAGGTATTTAACACTAAACTATTAAAGGAAAGTTATGAGCAGCTATCTACAACAAATTAAGTTCCTACAAAACTTGGGTAATACGAAAAGGATTATTAATCCACATTTTCTAAAGGGAGACAGTAGATTTCTGCTATAACATTAAACAATTACAGGATCTTTTGTAGAATCGTTTTATTTTCTCACACAATCATGTTCTTGAAATCATATTCTCCTGGTGAGCCGGCTGCTTTCTGGATGATTAAATGTAAACTGGACCACTTAGCCTTCAGCACAAAAAGCTGTAAAAAGTGACTCACTGTGTACAGGTTGTAAAGTTTAGCAATATGTAAATAAAATGTAAGATAACCTAAAGTTAGTCACCTGTCAGAGATTTGGTCAGACCAGTCCTACTGTAACAGATAAGGCTTTTAAAAAGGTGGGGGTTCAGGCCAATCCTGTAGGGTGGCTTCTATTTCTGCCTGACTGAAAGTGCATGAACCTCCTGAGACCCTGCGTCCACATATGGGACGTTACATTTTGGCTTTGCTGTACCTTATATTCACTCTGTTCAGCAGTGTTTTATACTTTGTTAAGCCATGTTAATGTTGTTGTGTTATGCTGTAAAATAAGCCCATTGTCCCCATCTGAGGATTTTTTTTTTTTTTTACAAAAGTATGTCATAATCGTGTAACAAGATACAATTTCCTGTTCTAAGAGGAAGCTTTATTTATACACAAATCAGGCCCATCTATTCACAAACATCTAGGAAATATGAAAAATGCATCGCAAACCAGAGCTCGGGTCTCAGGAAGTTAAAACACTAGAATAACACACATGTTGCTGTATTTTAATCAACCACTTAATAAAAAAGAAACAAAATTCCTCTATCATTTATACTAATAAATTAATTATTAGATACATTTTGTTGCATATAAAATAATAATACTGTTTTGTGTCAGACTAAAATGCCAAAAGAACAAATTTTCTCCATAAATAATGTTTAAAAACTTAAAAGATTCTTGTTCTGGACAGTTAGTCAAAAAGTAGACAAACATATTATGATTAAATAGAATTGAGGCAATTGAAATAAAGCATTATAAGAATTAAAGTGCTATGAAAATTGTATTAAGGCGCTTTGTAATTACAGCACAATTTGTTACACAGTCTGGATTTTAAACACTGAACAGAAAACAGATGTTCTTGTTAAGACTTTAATGAGTTCATTCTAAGGTAAATGGATTATGCCCAACACCAGAGAGTCGAAATCACTAAACATGTTTCATCCGATGTTTGTGATGAAGCTTCCCGACATGTGGAAAAGATTCAACGCTGTCTGGATGTAATGTGTGAACATTAAAAAGAGCTCAACAGATGCCTTCTGTTGACGATGATTCCACGGGCAGTGAATAAACATCTGTCCGTCCATCTTCACCCAGAGAAATTAAGTTCTCTGATGGTTTAAAAACAAGGAAATGAGCTCAACGTTCCCGCTGAGGCTTCATTAGCCAGCTAGCTAGTTGTGATTAGCGACAGGTGACTAATTAAAAGGTTACCTGGACCAAATGATGCTAAAAGACGAATTGAACGCCGTTTCTTTTCTAATCTGAATCAATCCGCACAGATTATTAATATTCCGCGTCACACAGCCACTGAACCCGGTTAAAACCGAACAGCAGTTTAGCTCGTTCAAGCTAGCAAAACGCTAACCTAACGCAAACAGAGCCACATACGTGAGTCAAGTGTCGCAGCCTACAACCACACACTTACAGCAGTGATTTACAAAAGCTGCTAATGAAGGTAGCTCCACTTACGTTACCGTCATCACTCCAATCCATCTCGATGTGCAGCAACGAAGCGAAAGTTTCAGCAGCTGGACGCCATGCTCAACTTCCGCTGCCGGCCTTTCAAAGTAAAAGCTCTGAATTCCTGCTGCAGCCAGAAATCCTGAAAAACAAATTTCTGACTGAACACACTAGTTGTGGAGAATTATTTATTTGTGTCATTGGTTGATGATGATGTCCTAACAGAGGCTGTGAAGAAAATAACTGTTTTGAATGCAGACTTGTAGAAAAATCTCAGTATATCGATGTAAACTGGACTCTTCTTCTGGAACACAAAACACAATTGAACTGGCTTGAGGAAGTAAATAAACTCGTATTTCCTTGAAATTAGTAAAGCATTTTCAGTTTTTATTTTATTTTGTTTTATTTTATTTTATGCACGCAAGTTCAACTGCATCATCTAAACATTTTCTTGACATTAAGCATTTCAGACAATCAGACATACAATAGAACAAGACAGAGTACCAATATCACTAAAACACATTACTCAAGTCTTAGAGTGGATGTTTAGTTACTTAACTCATTAGATTACTAGAAATTATACCAAACATTAAAGAAAAGTATCCTGATGCATGCTCAATAATCCAGGTAGAGAAATCTAAAAAAGTTCAATCTGGTCCTCTGGACATTCAAAAAAACAAAACAAAGCAAATCAACAAAAAAATGTAGAAACGTTTCGTCTCTCATCCAAGAGACTTCCTCAGTCTGAGGAGCTGTTTTCAGCTCAGTCTCTTAAATAGCACCTTCTCAGAGTGGATCAACCAGTTTTGCTGCTGACAACCAAAACCAGCTGATCACATGGTCAAGAAGGATCATCAGCCTAACAATGGATCATTAGCACACTGATGGCTGTTTACTATTCACAGAGGGCTGAGTGATACTAGCAATCACAGCATTGTAAGAGGGGGACAGTTGAACCCGGAGGCCTCCACCCCTGTTTAACGATGGACGATTTCTTTTCACAAAGATGGCCTCCTTTACTCCTCTCTCAAACCATCGTTCCTCTCTATCCAGGATGTGCACATCCTCATCCCTGAACGAGTGACCACTGGCCTGGAGATGAGTGTAGACCGCAGAGTCCTGGCCAGATGATGTTGCTCTTCTGTGCTGGGCCATCCTTTTGGCCAGTGGCTGTTTTGTTTCCCCGATGTAAGACTGATCACCCTCCTGACACTGAACAGCATACACAATATTACTCTGTTTGTGCCGGGGGACTGGATCTTTGGGATGAACCAGTCTTTGCCGTAATGTGTTTTGGGGTTTAAAAGCCACTGGGACGTTATGTTTAGAAAATAAACGTCTCAGTTTCTCTGATACCCCCTCAACATACGGAATGACCACTGGTCTGGGTCTGGGTTCCTCCTTTTCACCTGTTGGCTGACTGGAGTCCTGTTTGGGTTTCTTCTCTGCTTTCAGGAAGGCCCAGTTAGGATATCCACATTGCTCTAGAGCCTGTCTTGCGTGGGATTTCTCCTTCTGCCTGGCTCCTGAGCTAGTGGGGACGCTGTCTGCTCTGTGATACAGAGTCCTGGTGACTCCTAACTTGTGCTCCAAAGGGTGATGGGAGTCAAACTGCAAATACTGGTCTGTGTGGGTGGGTTTGCGGTACACCTCGGTTTGCAAATGTCCTCTATCAGAGACTGAGACCTCACAGTCCAAGAAAGCCAACCTGTCATTTTTTACATCTTCTCGTGTGAACTTGATATATTTATCCACAGAGTTGATGTGGTCAGTAAAATGTTGGACTTCCTGAGATTTGATTTTAACCCAGGTGTCGTCAACATACCTGAACCAATGACTTGGTGGTGTCCCTGAAAAGGACGTCAAGGCTCTCTTTTCTACCTCCTCCATGTACAGGTTGGCAACAATAGGAGAAACTGGAGACCCCATAGCACACCCATGTTTCTGCCTATAATATTGCTCCCCATATGTGAAGTAGGTTGACTGCAGGCACAGTTTCAAGAGTTGACACAGTTGTTCTGTGGAAAGTGTGGTCCTGCTGCTCAGAGTGGTGTCTGATTTTAATTTTAAACTGACCACCTCTACTGCATCATCAACAAGAATGCACGTAAAGAGTGATGTGACATCAAAAGAGACCATTGTTTCATCAGTCTCCATGATGACATCCCTCACCTTATCCACAAAGTCCATGGTGTTCTGTATGTGGTGTTCTGAGCTGCCAACTAAAGGGATGAGTACAGACACCAGATATTTGGATATTTGCTTTGTTTTTTTGAATGTCCAGAGGACCAGATTTAACTTTTTTAGATTAAAGAAAAGTGCTTAGTTTCATATCAGTGGTCTGAACAGTTTCATACTGAACTTTAATTGTTGTTGATGGCAACATTATTATCCATCCATTATCTTTACCCCCTTCTTCCATTTTGGGTCACGGGGGTCGCCGATGCCCATGTCTGGCAATCACTGTGTGAGGGGCGGGGTACACCCTGGACAGGTCTCTAGTCCATCACAGGGACTGTTGGATTTCATATTTTTATACCTTTTTATATTTCCTATCAAGCATTCAAATGTCATGTTATACAAAGTGTGTGTGTGTCTTTCTTCCAGGGTTGAACTATATTTATAGAAAATGTTTGCTAATTCTAACTAGTTGACCTTTAAGTATAATCTCATATTAGCTAAGGATAATTTTACAAGTTCACATTTGATATATTACAATCAAATCATGCCAGATAGCAGACTGATTAACATAAATAAAGCAAGTAAGAACACGCAAACATGAGTTAGATAATAATTAAGTTATTAATTATTCCTAGAAATAAACAACTTTATCTCAAATCATTTGGTATCACTAAGGTATAATCACGTTAAACAAACAGAGTGTTAACAGTTTAAACGCAGACAAGGAAACTAAGATGTATCTGCCTTAAAGCAGAGAATCACCAGGCCTTCAACAGACATTGATTAACACATACCCAAGAGGTAGGTAATAATTAATAGTTATTAATGACACAAATCATTTTGTATCTCTAAAGTATAATAGCAAGTTAAACTTTAAACAAAGAACCGATTTCAGTGAGCCAAAACTTCTTATCTGAAATGTAGACATTAACGTCCTTGAGGGGGCGGGCTAAAGTCGTAACCATAGCAACAGAAGCTAAACCAATCAGAAAGCTAGCCTTCTCAAACTGTGATAAAAGGCCGGAAATGACACACGCCCACCGAGCATTTCCGGGAGGCGCACACCGAGACGGTTCGTTCTTTAAGGCTCCAGATATATGCATATATCTTATTAATGTAATTGTTTGTCTCTGAATATCTGTAACCCCTGTTTGTCAAATAAATCTTTTATACCGAGGGCGATGTCTCAGCTGTTTTGAACACGACGTTGTATTGTGAAATTCTTTATCAAAAGGGCTCGTGAAACGGTCGGCACATATTCAGACAAATGGAAAAAATGAAAGACAGAAGCTGTTACTGCTAGGATAAATTAGTGTCCTTTATTATCCTGCCACAGAGAACAGCCAAGCAAAAAACATGTACACTCTTAACACACAGATTGATATGAAATAACTTCTCACCGTGACACTGGCCGGGAAGTCGTTTTCGACCCAGGTAAAGGAGAATCACATCAAAATGGCATATGGCATCAGCGCGTGCTGATCCACACCGGACTTCCAACTCTCTGTTGTCTGATACATTTCTTATAAAGGCTTCCCTGATCGCGTGAGAGCAGATCAAAGCAAGTTTGATGGTTACCAGAACAACGGATCTAATTAAACCATCATCAAAAGCGATGGCTCATCCTTCCAGTAAGGAGCGCCTGTGACCGTAAAAGCGGGCCAAAGCTTCCAGGTCAAGAGCACTCCTAATGCTTATTAAAGCATTCCTAAAGAGCACTCCTCGTCCCTTCTGCAAACCATCAAAGAGTGTCTAAATATTATAAGCAACACACACACA